AGTGCGCAAGCAGCTCGCGCAGGCCCTGGCCGGGATCGGGTTCATCGCGAGCTCGCGGGCGGCGTTCGACCCCCGGGCGAGCGTGAACGCGCAGGCCCGCAGCTGGCGCGCGGTGAAGGCGGCCGTGTGCGCGGGGCTGTACCCGCGCGTGATGCGCGTCCGCCGGCCGATGGAGAAGTTCGTGGACCTGGTGGGCGTCGGGGCCGTCCCCGTGCGGCACACGGCGAAGGAGTTCCAGTTCTTCACGCGCTCGAGGGGCCCGGACTCCGGCCCGGGCAAGGATGACCGGGTCTTCATCCACCCTTCGTCGATAAACTTCAGGACGAACGACTGGTCGTGCCCGTGGCTGGTGTACCACGAGCGGGTGCACACGAGCAGGGTCTTCGTGCGCGACTGCACGGAGGTGTCGCCGTACGCGCTGCTGCTGTTCGGCGGCCAGGTAGCCGTGCAGGCCGGGCTGGGGAGGATCGCGGTGGACGAGTGGGTCCGGTTCGAGGCGGTCGGGCGCATCGCCGCCCTGGTGAACCGGCTCAGGCAGCGGCTGGACGGCATGCTGTGGGAAAAGATCCAGGACCCGAGGCTGGACGTGGCCGGGTCGAAGCTCTCGGAGGCGCTCGTGGAGCTCCTTCAGACCGACGGCATGGGCTAGAGGCTAGGCTTGGTTGAATCCCACGACGTCGTTTGTCTGGTTCACTAAAAGAACTGTGCCTGAAGCGTGTGTGGTTGAATCCCACGACGTCTCTCGTCTGATCCACCTAAAAATATGTGCCTGAAGCACGTGTGACTGATTCACCTAAACGGATGCGCCTGAAGCGTTGTGTGTGTTTTTTCTCGGCAGCAGTTGTTGCTGGAAAACGTTGTGGAGCACCGCCTGAGAGTTGGGCTTGACGGGGCTGGGTTTTGTGCCGGGAGCGTTTGTGACGTGGGTTTTTGCTCACGCAAGCCGAGAGGATTTGCCCAGTGGTCACCAGCAGTGAAATGCTTGTGACAGTGGCCAGTCACCTGCCCTGTACGACTGCGCCTTTGTGGTCCCGACACGGCGATAGAGCCCAGGAAGGCCTTTCGTACAAGATGCCCTCTGTTACGTTTCACAAGGTTTGGTGGTGACAACAAGCACAAGCTTTTATAGAGCGTGCAGTCCCCCCCACGCAAAGTGTCATTGTGCAGGTGACTGCAGTAGCATGCTCCAGACAGGCTCCATGTGCTTGGCTTGTCAACTGAGGAGATGTCCCGCCCTTCTCTCTCACCGCGCGATACACGACGTCGTGCAAGCATGATGCCCAACAAGATGGAACATTTCTATCGATTTTCTGGGTTTGTAAATGTACGAGAAGAGCAACCCGATCTCTATGACCGCGTCCGATACCACTTCCTTCGCATGTTTGGAGACATGCCCGTTGAAAACCCTCGTCAGCTTTAAGTTTTTCCCTTTCCGGAAAAACATGGTACACACGCATACGTACCGCGCCTACAAAAATAAAAATAATCATTCTGTCCAAGGAGGCGCACCCGAAGGTAACAACGGGGGGCTTATCCTTTCCGCACATCTGCACAGCAGCGTACGGATAGAGAGGCGTGAGTGGGGAAAACCTTTGGAGAAGCCTGGGGGCCCGCCAATTCCGCCCGCCTGCACACGCTCCGGTCCTTCTAAGTATCACATCTCGAACTCATCAACACCTCAATGTAAAGTCCTACGGGAAGGCAGACAACGATTAGTCGGTACCGCCATCACTGCGGTCAGTTCTGGTGTCTCGTGCGGGTGAAGATCTCCGCCAGCCTGAGTTGCTCCGCTTGATCCTTCCCGCACGTCCTCGCGGCGGTGACCGCAGCCTGGCCGATCTCGGGGTCCTTGGGCAGGATGCCGCCCTCCTCGAGCTTCTCCAGCGTCTGGAGGACGCACAAGGATTTATCACGAATGAGTGAGTGCACCTGTTTTTGTGTGTCCTGTCTTACGCCATCGGTGGTTTCGGTTGTTGCTGTGGTACTGCTGTCTTCATGTTGGCGTAGCAACCTGACTTTCTCCCGTTGTCCTCCTCTTGTGGACCATTCAGAGTGCAGCAGCAAGGAGGACGAACTTCTGCGACCAGGGTCAACCCAACCATGAGCCACACAACAAAAAACACGTACAATGTTAGGTCCCCCGCTCAAGTCACAACATGTCGAACAGCGGGTAACAGGCCGCTATGTATACCAGATTATGTAGGTGATACGAATCCACACATGTGATTCAGAATGTCACCCTTGTTGGTTACGAGCCAGTCTTGACTTGGCTTGCGATAATAGAGTCCATCCACACGGGACTAAGCGTGTTCCCTCGGGGAGGCCCCTGATCACCACGGCCCCCGCCTAAAAACAACGCCGATCGCACCAGGCCACCTCACAACACATACCATACAACCCTTCTGCCCTCTATAACATGACCGGTTTGGCGCAGTTTCCCGACAAACCAAACGGCAGGTGCTCTGTGCACCACTAACTGGCTGTCCAGCATCACACGTTTCCAGTGTGACATCCCAAGTATTTGACAAAAAGCGGTGATATGTTCTTAGTAGTTCTTCGCCGTCGGTACATCGCCGACATACTTCGGTTTACCATCGCTGTGTACACCGACAGGAGTACACCGACGGGAGAACATAAGGTGAGTGCCAAAAAGGCCGCTCCAACCGTGGCAAACCACGCCGAAGTATTTTTTTTATCTGAGGAACAACGGGGAAAAAAATCATCTCACAGCACTAAAAAAAACGAATCCATTGCAATAATCTATTTCCCGACTCTTCCGTATCTGTGGAGGAGACGATTTTTTTGCTGTTGTTCTCGTGTAATGAAAAAAAAAAAAAAAACAGAGCAGTCAGTCACCTCAAGGAGGTCCTCCCACTGCCCGGTCTTGACGCCCACCACCACCAGGTCCGTGAGGCAGGCCGCGTTAGGCGACAGCCCCCTCTCCACGGCCATCTCCTCCACCACGCCGCGGACCTTTCCCCACTCCTTGCTCACCGCGCAGATGACGCTCGCCGCGCTGTAGTTGAGCACGTTCGGGGTCGCGCCGTGGGACGGCATGGTAGTTCGGAGGACGTCTTGGGGTAGCGTGGGAAACGACGACGGGAGACAAAAGAGACAGAAGCAGCACCGAGCAAAGAAGTTCGTCGAGCATCGTTCGCAAAACGTGCGAATGCGTCAAGAGGGGGCGGCGGGTAGTGGGCTGTTTCGCGTCTCAAGCAATACATTTGTTGTGTGTGTGCTGTATGTTGTGTGCGCAAGTACGGCTTACAAGCACCCCACGTGGAGGAAAGAAGCGACGAAGGACAAAAGCGTGCCGCAACAACGCCCCCGCCTACCCAGCCCCGCCAAGCACGACACACAAGCACACCACGGTGGACCGAAACGATGAAGGAAGAAATCGTACGGCAACAACAACGCCTCCCTGCTTACCCAGCCCCGTCATACAAGATAGCGCGCCAAGCACGATAATACGTAAGCACACCACGTGGAAAGAAACGATCAAGAAAAAATGAGCGTGTGGCAACAACAATGGTCTCCTTGCTTTACCCAGCCTATACAAGGACGGCACGTGAGGTGGACAGAAAAACCACCAAGGAAACAAATGCGTGCGGCAACAAACAACAGCGCCACCCTCCCTGCTGCTTACCCAGGCCCGCCTCGAGCTGCCCGCACCGACCGCAGAGCAGGATCGCGGTGCTGTAGGTCGTGTGGTCGGGCTTGATGCCCTCGCCGGGCATCTCCTCCAGCAGGGCCAGCCCGTCCCGCCACCGCCCGGCCTCCCCCGACACGGAGATGGCCGTGTTGTAGCTGATCGCGTCCGGCTGAATGCCGACCGTCTTCATCTCCCTAAAAAGCTGTCTCAATGGGAAAGGAAGAAAGGAAGACGCACCAAGCCAAGAAAAAAAAAAGTGAATCTCCACCTCTCTAGGAAACGCGGCCCAATCAGAGAGCGTGAATGTCGATTGAGCTCTACGAAACGCGGACCGCCCCTACAAGTGATGGCAGGTATCCCCGGACCGTTATTTCGTGTTTTCTCGGGCCGGGAGGAACGAGAGACGACCCCAAAAGGGAGGAGGATCATCGATCGATTCAGACGGGGGGGGGGGGGGGGGGGGGGGGG